TCCAACAGCCCTGCATCCCTCTCTGTTACCTCTAACTAAAATTTGTGGAGCGCTGGGTGGCTCGTGGGAAGAAAATAAGGAGCTGAACTTCAGTTCTTAGATGACAGGTTTAATCTGGCTGTTTGAGGCAAATCTGCACTGGTTTACAACTAACATCAACCAAGAAATCACTGTTTAGCTCTTTAACCAAACAGGTTCTCTGAGCAAACCTCTTTTCTTTTTCTAAATCTTTTCTTTTTGTTGTCAGGAATGAAGATCATAAAACAAATCTTTCAATTGCCTCTGCAGTCTCATTCAAGTCCACCGACAAAACTGTTCATGGAGATTGAACACCAGCAGTTTACAGAGACCAAATAGCAGTGGTTCCTCCCGAGCAGCTTCAATTTTGTTGATGTGGAAACTGTACCTGTTCTGGGAGTGAAAAAAGACAACTTCAGTCTTCAGGGCAACAATGCAGAACACTGCATTAACTTCAGATGAAAAACTAATCACTCCAAAATGGAATCACGGCTTAATTCCCCAAAGTATTGCTGTATTAGGTAGGTTATCTGCTTGCAGCCCAACCCTCTGATGACACAGTACTAATAATGGGGTCCCCGAGCTGTGGCAACACTATAGGTTGTGGCTGCCTTATGGGCACGTCTAATTATGATGTTCTGTGACAAGCCTATAAATACACTCCCACAGGTGAAGACCTGATTGTAGTGAGCAGCGAGGGGGTCTGGCAGGTATTTGCTCTGTTCGCACACAGCGTAGTGTTGCCTCCTTGAACTGGAGGGCTGTTTATAACTGCGAGAGCCTTGCAGGCCGATACCCCAGGGAGTTCAAGAGTATGGAAGCAAGTGAGATTTCATAATCACATATAGATCAAACGTCAGCAGGAAAAGTGCCAAAGGGGAAAAGAGCAAATTTCTTCAAATGAAAAAGCCTACTGACAAAACCCAAAGACCACCTGAGCAAAGGAAAAAGGGGATTACATATTAGCAGACCAACTCTGGTGGGCTGATCATAGGTTTGAGAGCGGATGAAGATAATCACTCTCACAGGGCACTTAAGCAGGTAGTTATTTGAGGAGAAATAACTGTTTGAAGGATTTCTTGAAGAACAGGGAAGGTTGCTAGGCCTCTAGTTTGTTTTCAGGAGTCTGTTCTTAAAGATCATTACATTATCATAACACTTTAGGCTCATAAAACCGGTCAGTGCCCCTGCACACCACCTGTGTGTGCCAGGTGATGAGGATTTTCCTCACTCTTTCCTTCCCTAGCAATTCCAGCCCCCTGGTCTGCCTGTCCTGCCCACCTATACACCCTCGGTCTTGGCTTGCTCTGAGGACCAACTTCACAGGAACAAAAAATAATAAATAAATGAGGAAAGCCTTTTTTGAAAGGACTAGAAAGGAAGGGAACCTGATGGGCAGCTAAATGACCCCTGAAGGCCAGTATGAACTCATGATAACGGCTGCTGTAGATGAGAAGTTGACCGAACACCAATCCTTGCAGCCTAAAAAGAAAAAAATCAACAAAAAGCCTTCCACTATCCCATCTCCTTTACTGTTTGTTTTGTCAAAGGAGATGACAATCACTCACAACACTGAACTGAATAAGAAAATTATCAGCTGCCTCAGCCAACGCACTGTGGCACACAGTTGTCAAACTCTTGCAAATTTTGTCATAAATCTTTGAGCTAACATTTCTATGATTTCTAAAGAAGCCCTGAAAAGCTCTTTTCCATAAAGGGAAACCTCGGTTTTGACTTGCTGCACCACCTCTGTGATGGGATGAAACAGAGGATGCTCTCTCCCACTGCTCCCAGCACAGGCTGCCGCAGGAGTGTGAGCAGGGGTCTGGTGAAGTTAACTCACCCTGGAGAAGGCACAAAAAGAGGCCAAGACCAGAGACCATGCTACAGAGGAAGAAAGAATATGCACTAAGGCAGTGATTAGTTTCAGGTCAGCGATTGGTTTGCTGGACATGAGCTGTTTAAACAGAGGCACTGGTGTGAGACAGGGCAGAGGAGCTGGGGGATGCCAGTGACAGGCACTGGGCTGCTTGGGGCAGGCAGCGGAAACACACGGTGCAAATCCACAAAGGTGCTGGGCAACAAAGGGAAAGGGGCGCCGTGAGGAAGAACCCGAGGGAGGGGCGGGTGAACCAGTACCACGTACAGGAGCGTGCAGGCACGATGCCCGCAGAGGGCCCTCAGCTCCGTGCTGGTAACACGGTGAGGGCCAGGCCCCGAGGCAGGCCCAGCCCGAAGCAGCACCAGCGCAGCGCTCACTGCGGGCTGCTAGCCCCAGCACCGGCTCCCCGCGGGCCCGGGGCCAGGCTCTGCCGGGCCGCACTGTCCGGCGGAGGCCCCAGGGCACGGCGATACCGGTGACAGGGCCGCTCCCCCCCGCCATCACCCCTCAC